GAATATAAGCCCACCACATATACTAACGCTCACCTCATTCCCAATATAAGCCCCCCCCCCCGAATATAAGTCCACCCGAATGTTAGCCCCCACGAATATAAGTCCCCCGAATATAAGCCCAGTAGCCCACTACGTTATTCAACATTGACATTGTCTTTTAATATAGCAGAGAACGATATTTAAAAACATTGTCATTATAGCAGACTATGTGAATCAAAGCGCGTTATTAATACATGTTTATTTTCCTGTTTATGACTGACTTGTTTATGTCTGACTTGTTTATTACTAACACAAAATATCGTCCATGTATTAGCCCCCCCCCCGTATATAAGCCCCCCTTGTATAAGCCCATCAAAAATCGCTTACAAAAGTATATAAGCCCAGAGCTTATAGTTGGAGGTTTACGGTATATCGAATGTCATGTTGAATGTCATGTTGAATCTTATGCGTACTTCACAACGGTTCCTATTTCGTTGCATTAAATTTCAGTAGTATTACTATTTATAATTCAAATTTTGTTTGATATTTATATTTCATGTTATTTACAAAATGTGCTGTAGTTTTGAAGCTCTGCACAGAATATAGTCAGTGCGAGCACAATGGCTCCGTTTCAGTTTGAGTATGTAAAAATCGAGTATTTTGATAGCGTGGGCTTTGAGCATATCACATATGGCTTTAAGGCTTTCACGATATATAAATAAAAGCTTGATAATTAATAAATAATCAGTGCGAGCACAACGGCTCCAAAATCACAACAAATAACAGAATATAAGGCAAGTTAAAACAGCAAAGCTTTACCTACCTCGATTTATTTTTCTAAGGCGCTCAATTATATAAATTTTCGGCGAATAATCGATATTTCTTTGCGTTTCCTCGACGAAAACCCGGCATGAAAATGCTCGTCGGAAAAACTCGGTATTTGTCGTATTTTACGAACCTGCCACGTGACTGGTACGCTCACCGCGACGACACGAAATTTAGAGCTATATAAAAGTTTTGGCCCTGGGCATAAAGGTTTGGACGATGTTAGGGTTATCATATTGATAAAACCAATATTGGTAACCCTACAGAAATGGAAGCATTTTGGGTATACAAATTAGATACGTTTGTACCTAGGGGATTAAATGTGAGGGATTTTGAATAATTAGAAAATTAAACCAGACTTACCTGTAAGGTGAAGTTTGATTGAGATTCTACGAGTTATTGGTTAGGAGCGAAGGAATCACGTGTGAGATAGCGCGGGAAGGATCGAGCGGCAGTCTTTAAAGGGAGTGCGAATGGTCATTGATATTTAGTATCTGCTGTAAAGCCGTAGGGGTGGGTAAAACTGTAGGGTGGGTAAAACTGTAGGGTGGGTCCGTGACACCTTCGCTCCTAACCAATAACTCGTAGAATCTCAATCAAACTTCACCTTACAGGTAAGTCTCGTTTAATTTTCTAATTCTACTTCGTCATTGGTTAGTTCGCTACGGAGTCACGTGTGAGACTTTAAAGTAATGACCATGAGCACTGTAACTTTGCTTTTTTAATAACAACAATATCAACACGATGCATGCTTAATCAATGTTAACAATTTTTAAGAGGCTATGATCAAAATTCTCTTTTTGATCACTTTCAATTGGTTTGTCATAAAATTTACTGAATGTTTTCGTGTTTGACCACCCAGCTGCGTCCTTAATGGTACTAATTGGCATGTTGCCAACTTTCGCTGCAGATGTAGATGCTGATCTTGTGCTGTGAGCACCAAATACCTTAATGTCTATGCCTGCTTTCGTTAAAGTCTTTTTTATCCACTTGCCAATGGTTTCTGATGAAACTGGTTTATGTGGTTTCTGGTAACTCAGAAGTAGTTGGAAGTTGTTCTTTCTTAAAGATAGCGTCCTTGCTACATACTCTTTGAGGACAGTTGCTGGACATATCACTTTGTCTGCTGTAAAAGCTTTGATCTCGATCTTTCCACAGTGCTTTCCGGGTCGAGTGGTTTTTAACAGTTTATTTATATGAAAGGACCACATGTCATCACTCTTAACCATCTGTTCAATGTTCAAGACCTGTATGGTCTGGCAACGCTGTCCAGTAACAAGGGCAAGCAGCATGGTTGTCTTCATAGTCAGATCTTGTAGGGAGAGTTGTGTATTCTCACCCAAAGATTCTAGATATTTTATAACCACAGACACATCCCAGATCTGTTTATAACGTGGTAGTGCTGGTCTATTTACAAATACTCCTTGCATATATCTGGTTACCAGTGGATGGTTTCCAAATGTGAAATTGTCTATTGGTTGGACAACGCTGGATAGAGCTGAGCGTACCGTGGTTAATGTGCTATAGGATAATCCTTCCTTGTAAAATTCATGTAGAAAATCAATTGCAGTCCCTACATTTGGAGAAATGGGATTGATACTTCGTTCACAACAGTGCTATTCCCACTTTTGTAAATAGTATTTGTACTGTTTTTGAGTCCCCGGTCTCCATGCTTGTACGATGATTGAAGCAGCTTCTTTTGACATTCCTTTACTTTCAAGTAATCCCCCGATAAGTGGCACATCAGTAATCGCAACTTCTTTTGTAGAGGATGTATTTTCTGAGGATGGGATGGTAACATCAGTGTTGTTTGTGTGCTAGGCAAAATAAAGGGACAATTTATTAACATATTGGTTAGATATGGCCACGAAGACTGGGTCGGCCAGTGTGGAATTACTATTATGCCTGTTGCCTTCTCTTCTGAGATTTTTTGTAATACATGGTTGATAATGCAAAAAGGTGGGAATGCATAAAAGCACAATGTTTACCCAAGAGATATGAAAGGCATTTATGGCTTGAGCCTCAGGGTCAGGTCTGAATGCAACATAAGGTTTGCATTTATAGTTTAGCCTTAAAGCAAACAGATCAATACCCCATGGGTGTCACATCCAGTAATTGGATTGCTTGATCATACACTGTTTGGTCTAAGGCCCACTCAGTATCATTGGTACCCCTCCTCGATTCAAAATCTGCAATGACATTATGTTTTCCTGGGATATGTGCTACAGTAATCCAAATGGTATTCTCAATGCAAAAATCCCATATCTCTGTAACTAAGAGATTTATCTCCTTGGAGTGACTAGTTCCCGTATGATTTATGCAGCAGACTGCTGTTGTGTTGTCGGATAGGATTTTTACATGCTTCTGACAAATATGAGCTACAAATGATTTTAGACTGAGTAATATGGCTTTAACTTCTAGCCAGTTAATGTGTTTCTCAGATTCCCCAGGGTCCCATGAGCCACCTGTAGGTGTGCCAGCTAGGGAGCAACCCCAACCCGTTTTTGAGGCATCTGTGGTCATGGTTGTGTCAGCTTGTCCGTGACTAACCACACTGTATGCACTTTCGATTGAGCGTACGCACCAGCTCAGCTCGTGCTTAGCCTCATCTGAAAGAGTCATGGTCTTATTATAATTGCCCTTTCTTAGTTTCAGGGCCACAATTTTATCCATATCTAGGTGCCTATAATGCAATGGCCCAAACATTACTCCTGGGAAGCTAGCTGTTAACATCCCAATGACTCTAGCCACTTCCCGTATTGTAGGTTGAGGAGATTGTAGAAGCTTTTGACAAGCTTCCTTAATTTTTTGTGTTTTTTCCCCTGTTAGGAGGGGAAAATAGACTCCATTTTTATGGAATCTAACAGAAACCCTAGGAATACAAGTTTCTGAGTAGAGTATAGGACTGACTTCTTAGGGTGTATAACAAGACCCACTTGGTCAAGTAATGTAATAGTATCTTTCACATTTTTAACAAAACAGATTAAAGTCAGCACCTTGTAAATAAGAATCATCTATGAATATTACAGATAGATGACCTATGCTTCTCAAGTTTGAGAAAACAGGTTTAAGGAGCTTTGTAAATTTCCTAGGGCAAATTGCCAGTCCATTTGGGAAACATGTATACTGATATAGCTTCCCTCGCCATTGAAATTTCAGGTATTTTTGATGGTCTTTGTGAATTGGGACAGAGTAGTATACATCCTTAAAATCAATGGATGCCATAAAGCATCCTGGACGCATCATACGTATAGCAGTCCAGATTGTGTCCATTTTAAAATGTTGGTACGTAACAGATTGGTTTAAACATTTTAGGTTTAAAATCATGCGATATGATCCATCCTTCTTAGGTCGAAGGACTATGGGTGAAATGTATTCATTAGGCTCATGTGTAGATTCTACAATGACGCCTTTTTTCAACAAGTTTTGGATTTCAGAATCAATAAACTGTCCTTGTTGACGTAATTTGGCTGTACGGGTAAATTTAATTGTACTGGGTTCTAGTTAAATTCTATGCGTTGACCAGACACTGTCTCCAGAATTTCTGGATCAGATGTCAATTCTTTCCAAGCAAAATAGGAAGTACTAAGTTGGCCCGCCTTAAAATTGGCAACCTTGTGTTCAAAGTATTTAATAAGCGATGGCACGAGAGACTCGTATTCGCTTACCTGTATTTGTGAAAGTTTTTGAATAGCTTCTGAGTCTATTTCTTTATTGGCCCGAAACGAGCTCGGTTCTGACCACGGTTCTGACCCCGCCATTTGTTGTTCTCCAGTCGTCTGTACGACTGGGCTCCTCGCCATAAAAAAGAGGCTGTTTGTTACTATAATTGCTCGTATTTGGCTTGTAAATCCGGCGTTGACTCGGCTGGTGTGATGATGGATTTGTTGTATTTCCAATTTTGTTTGTTGCCCGAATGCGGGTCGATTCTGTTTGGAGGTCGTCTCCAAACAGTAGGCTTGTCACAGGAACTTCTTTTGAGCATAGCTCAATATAATCCCTGTGAAGGTGAGGTTTGATTATTTCGCGCCTTTTTTGAGCTAACTCATGGCTAGCATGACTGACCAGAGCAACAGCATCTGTGTTCATTCGCACTAGGTCATCAATTTGTAGACTTTTTGGGTCAGATTTTGCTTTCAACAGCATATCTGTAGCTTGTACTACAAGGTTAGTGACTGTGCTAAGCTGGGTTTGTACACGAAAGAGCTTGTTATCCTCGCCACGAACAGCTCTTGGCAATTTAGCCCATATTTCAGGGTTTACACGTAAGCTTACAACTTTATCGCAGTTCGCTGGTCGCGGGTATTTTTCGTCCTTTTCTTTTAGCTGGTCGTCACTTAATTTATGATTCCAGCGTTTGTTGGCAATCAATGCTAGTTTATCCGAAACGGGGTCGCCCGTTCGCTCCGTTTCGTCAAGTGACTGCGCGATTTCGTCAAGCAAGGGATCATCTACGTCCGCCATGTTGGCGGATTGTTGTTCGCCCTCGTTCGAGGTGTTCTCATTGCCATTGTGATGTCCCTGCTCCGCGTCTCCCAGCAACGCTTCACTGTCAGATTCGTTGTCTGATACAGACTCAGACAGTGAGCTAATTTTAGCTTTTTTGGCAGATACTGCCGTGTTTGTGCTTGGTTGATCAGAGACAATGCTCTCATGTTTTCGTTTGTTTAGCGATACGCCTAGTGCACAAATATTATCATTCAGTTTTGATAACAACTCCATAAATCGTTCGTTCGTAGCAAGGTCTTCGTCAGTCTGTTCTTTTCTTCTTCCGTAAGTAGTTCTTCCTCCATATCCGAAGTGTCTTCTGCCATTTTTATTCAATTTTTAAGCGGAAAATTTTTGTTGTTGACGTTTGCTCGAAGAATCCTTTGCAACTGCTGCTCGATCCTTCCCGCGCTATCTCACACGTGACTCCGTAGCGAACTAACCAATGACGAAGTAGAATTGTGGTATAATTACCAGGATTTTATAAAGGACATTTGGCCCCGAAACGTTGCAATAGTGGAATAAATGTTGAAATATTGTGATTTATTTATATTGAAATGATATTAAACTGGATCGGAGAGGGGTTTGTGATTTAAGGTGGCTCCCTACAGTTATTCTTGTGTAAGCAATAATTCCGTAAAACAGGCTTAGTCGCGCAGAACGCGAATTCTTTTCGACTTCGTGGCAATATTGGTCACCTAAGGAATATTTCGAACTAGATTTGGACAACGTCAATGTTCCCATGGCAACATGACGACAGCATAAAGCCTTCCAATTTAACGCATAAATGTGCCGCTTTCTCAAAAACGATGTCGGTGACCTATCTTTTTTATTTCGTATATTGTCACGAAGCACTACTGGACTAAGATAATACCAAAACTCTTTAATTATTTCTTTAATTACAATACTCAACGATTAATCTCCACAAAATACATCTCACGATTTCACCTTAACTCTACAATATCTCACTTCCATGCGGTTCTCTCTCCTCTAAAAACACATACACTAAAAGGCACTAAAACACATACACTAAAAGGCGCTTCTCTACAATATCAATAGGGAATAATGATGTTCTTCAACTGTGGTGAAAGTTTAAAAAAATTCTGTAGTGTGTGATTTTTTAAAAGCGAAAATTCCGTTGTCCACCGGAAGAGTAAAAGCGCTTGTCCGGTATTTGAATAAACTGCGTCTTACTGAATTATCATACTGAGTTAATAGAGTTACTGACCAAATTTTCTTTATAAACCATGATATGTCAATTCCAGCGTTCATGAACTCTTTCCTGTCACATTGCCTCAGTTCATTCGATGTCCGTAATTCTTTACAGCTCCACACCAAGTCAAATTTTCTTTGTCGGTAACAAGACATTGCTCTTTGTTGGGATATTTGTCAAAGTGAACTCCCTTATCACATTGACCTTTGTTCTTTGTTTACAAAAATAGATTGGCTGAGGGGGGAGGGCAGAGTATCAAGTTGCATGCTTCCACAAAAAAAACGTTACAGTTCAATTACAAGGAGTGGATCAGAGTGATCTGAATTATATTTCGCTATTTTTGCGATACATTGTTCGAAATGCATGCTTGCTAATTTTTGTGTTTTTCTGTTTGCTTTTCAATTACAAATTAAAACATTTTAAAATGTTATCAACAGTCAAGTCAACAAAGCTAGAAAATCGCAATCCCTCATGCTTTCAAGATGTTTCGTATCAAATCGGTCAGTTAACATGCCCTCAATCAATTCCATGGTTGCCCAACACCCAACACCCCAACCCGGGCGTTTGTCGGGCATTCTCAACTGTACTTGTTCCCAGGGTCGGGCATTTGCTTTCTGCAGGTTAGCCCCGGGGTGGGAAATTTGCTCGATGCTAAAAAGTCGAATATTTATCACTTGTATCGCCATTTAGCCGTACTTTAGTACGCATGTTTACACGTGCATGCGTATTGCAAATTAATCATGGCAGACATACACACAAAGACTTTTTTCTTGTCCATCCTGTTGATACATTGCCTTACTTCCGCAGTTTGATATTACTATATAACGTTTTGAGACTTCAATATTTCAATTAAAAACGTTTTGAAACGAAATGGCTACAGAATCGATTTTAAATACAGATATATTGATACGTGATAGAGCTTGCATTCGATATTTTGGATCAGAAATCCTCAGAAAACTTATATTTTGGCTCCCAAGGGTGGGGCATTTGCGTCAACGTAAGTCCCCAAGGGTGGGGATTTTGTTGCATTATTTGCACCCCATGGTGGGGCATTTGCAACGTTTTTCCGCCCAAATGCCAAATGCCCGACAAACGCCCGGAGAGGGGTTGGGCACCCATGGAATTGATTGAGAGATTACTGTTTTTATATTTCTAATATTTCTATAACAAATATGCCAGTAGATTTATTTGAAATTGTACACGTCTTGTTTTGTTGAAGGTTGATAATTTTCAAAAGTAACTATATCACGAGTTTGTAAGCCAATGGCAATGTGAAACATTTGACTTCTAAATAAAACCAAAACAGTAAAAATGTCTGTGATTTATCTTTGAATGTAGTTCATCGTTTTTATTTAAACCTTTAGGAGAATGGGTATAGGTAGTAAAGCTAGTATAAAATTTATCAGGTGAATGTAAAAAATCCTCTGCCTCGGGACTTAATACACACAGATATAGTAGCCTCCATGCATGCATGAATCAAGCAAAAGAATAACAGCAATATATACAGTATAAAAACATATTTTTTCTGATATACACAAATGACATTTTATTACGAATATACAGCTATATACATCAATTAAATGGATAAGCATAGTCATACTCTTAATAGACATAACATTTAGAGTCTGGATCTTAAGTAATGGTATAGCTATTAAACTAGCTCAGCTTTGAATTCGTTGAGACTTGAGAACAAGCCGTTTATATCTATACGACAGTCTAGTGTACCATAGGCATAGACACTATAAAATATGTATTTAAGAATTAAGGGAAATATCGCAAATTTTTTCCTATTTTCTCTAGTAAAATAGACACTATACATTAACACTATATACTGTATACAGACTTTACAGTATATCGATGCCTATACTATTAACAGTGTCTCACAGCAGCATGCCAGCATTCTTTTATATAAATCCGTATATATTTCACAAAATAAAAATCCTCTTGTATTTTAATTTCTATTTTTATAATAAACATCGTCATCGATCACAGTAAAGCAAATGACAATGTCACAATTTAAGCTGTTTATCATGCAAATTGATATTTATTATGCGGTGTCTATTGTATTGACTATTGTCTATAATATCAGAGAAATAGGCTGAGTTATGTACCGTATAATTAGTACGTACACTGTACTTGCATGTTATTCCTTCGGGTAGCCGGCTGTTGTGGTATTATTTTACCGTGGATTTGATAACAAAGAGGTCTATACTTCGACATATTTCTCGATCGTTGAATTTCAGTGAAGCCAATGCAGGAAATTACACACCACGCGGTCTTTACAGTAATATTGTTACAAAGCCGTTTACAGTTGGCGATATTTCGGAAATCATAAGATCCCTCTTGTCGTTATTAAATAAATCCTTTGGGTCGAGTATCAGGATATACTGGCCAATCTAGAAATATATTATCTTCGTATCTTGTATGCATGTTTACTGCGACGTGTGACTTAATACTTCGACAAAGCACAGTGCGATCGACATGTAATATTGGATGGCACACTACAGGATTTAGGCCTACTCTGGGGCGGTAAATCGCCTTAAATCGCTGCGATATAATGCGATTTTGGGCGATTTTAGGCGATTTAAGAAAAAACTGGGACTTTCAAGCACTGCGATTTAATGCGATTTTAGGCGATTTAAGGCGATTTAAGAGAAAATTCTAAATTTTAGGGATTGCAACTTAGACCTGTGTTTTCAAGGTAATTGAATTTTATATTTTGCTCCGGTTTCCTCCCACAAGGCAAAATATGGCAGGGTGGGTTAGAATAAACACAGTTAGAAAAGTGATATCATATTCTCATTGTTATAAAGATATATAGTGATCTAGACTAACATAAGTAACCCTAATACTTTATGTAAGCAGTGACTGAAAAGCCCCAAAGGGGAGTGAGCTGAATAATGTAATGTTTTCACACACATTGACACATATGCATTGTATGAAGCAAAATACAATTATTAGAACATGTATGTACATTTTATATAAAGCTAGGTTAATAATTATTGTATTTAACCCAAATCATATATAAAGCTCAATATTCGTGAACTTTTCATCCATTGTCTTATTTAGAAGCCATTGGAGACATTGAAGTTCATCTTGTGGGGTCATGTGGTCATGCATTCATGGCTACATTATATACCACAAATATTGTAAACAGTTAATAAATATACTCTACTTAAGGGGCATGTACCGTACATAATTGCAAAATACCAACCTATAACTAAACTACACATGTCTTAGGCTAAACTTTAATATTATTAATTGCAAAATATAATAGATATTTGATTTCCAAAAGAACCACAGCCCACAGGGAGTAGAAACGCACAATATATTTATACTGTTACAATAAGCTATATTCATATAAATTACCTTGTCACCCTTGTAAGTGAAATTGTCTTGTTTTGTATCTTGTCAACACTTCTTTATTTAGCTTGCATTTTATTTAAACTGTTTCAACAAACATGTTTTATAAAATTATGTTTGATATCTATATCCAGAAACAGTTTGAAACAGTATTGTCACGCATTCGGAAACTGTTGGCGTAATGCCGTAAAGTTTAATTTACATGAAGTACATCGCATATAAATGATCGGAATTCTAAATTATTTAAAAAAAATACTAAACAAAATGATATTAAACAAATGGCACACCGCGCACTACATCGTGGTTTTAAGTCTTTTACCTGATAATTTGTCAAGTGTTCTGCAAACAAGCAACAACAAAGATTGTATGGTATGTACGATGTAATCATTGTTTTACTGTTTATTTTATATGCAAGTCTGGAAAATTTAATAGATGAGAGTTGCAAAACTTGCAAATCTCGCTCATATTAAACCTCATGTATTGTTTTTCGTATGATAGCCAATATATAATTATAACTAGGAGCTAGAGTATAACCATGCACATGTCGAAGTACAACCATTGTATACAATGCAGTGCTCGATCTATATGCAACAGTGCATAAATTGCAGGATGACCTTATTATATACTCGTACTCATTGACTCTCATTATCATAGTCTC